GAAAAAAGAAAATAATCAGTGCCTATGCAAAACTGTTTTGGTCTGATTAATTTAATGAAATTGTAGTGTATATTTGCACCCATTTATCACATCATTTACAGTGAGATAAGGATGTAGCAAATCGTTCCGCACTAAGGTCCATATCGTATTCTCGTATTCAGGATCTGTCACTAACACATTGCTTCTAGATTCTTCTACCCAATTGCAATACAGTGTCCCTTTTCCAGAATCATGATAATCTGTGCAAAGATTCCCAGATGCTTTCACTTGATTGCAGTGATTGGTTGTACATGTAATTGCAATGTGATTTTTTTCACTAGGGCACGAGTTCTCCAACTTTAAAGGTGTCCAACATGGTTGTGGGTGACTACACTTTTGTGTTAAAAGTGACCGATACTGGGGGACAGACTGCTAGCTCTAGCTTGACAGTAGTGGTTCAACCTGAGAAGAATGCCCCACCTGTGGCAGTCGCCGGGTCAGATAAGGTTTGTTTGGTTTCCCTGTGTTCACGTTTCTGTTTTGTTGTAATTTTTGCCTTGTTGCAGATATTACTACAATTTTACTCCTAAGCCAGCTATTTTTGTAGGCCATACTAAGTTCCGTGGAATCTCAGTTTCAGAATTACGCTAGATGCCAAAAACCGTTAAATCATTAAGTATTACAGTAAAAAGTTCTTTCGAAGACTGTGCATCCACCCTCGTTTTGAAAGAGAGACTAAGGACGTAGTCATGGAAATAGCCTTTCGTTTATACTGAATGGAATATATATCTATCAGTGTTGTTTCTGAGAGTATGTTATTAGTCAAATGTATACTGTAGATTGTATTTTTTTGCATTTCTTTGCACCTTTCTGTGTGCCTATATGGTAATGGAACAGCGAGGAATTTCTTTTCTACTGAGTCACTAAAGGGGCTAACAGGGTTGATTGTCAAGAGTACGTCTGCTGTTTATCGGCAGTTGTTGATTCGTGTGCATTTTATGTGAATGAAGTACTTAAGCAATTATTTATCTTTCAGGATCTGGTGTTTCCTGACGACTCCACAGTTCTTGATGCCTCATCTAGTCATGATGATCAAAAAATTGTCAGCTACCACTGGGAGCAGTCAAGGTGAGCTGGTACAAATGAGCGCTTCTCAGTTGTCACGCTGCTATCAAATTTGACATCCAGATTTACGTAGTTAGAATTGCCTAGTTGGAGTAGGGGCAAAAAACGGTTCTCGTCGTACGTCATCTTATGACCACTCCCATCGGCTGGTGTGTAATGTATCCCATGTTTTACTGCTCCCTGCAATATAACCCTGATAAAGATACATTAACATCTATCTAGGCAACTGCGGTTTCCCATAATGAGCATGCGTTGTTTACTTTCTATCTCCTTGCGGTTACAATAAATTATTTTAAGCCACATTTTTTGCCTCCTCTGCCACCTCTGAATAATTTTTTTCGCTCCGTACTCCCTCCACTGAGTAAATTCAGTTTGATAATGGCCGTTTTAACTAGATTGTCGACCCTAGCCCAGTTTTCATGACTACTTACATCTCTGACCTGCTTACTTTAAACATCTCTGTAAAAGTCTTGTGGCGTTTTTCCCTCTGCCTGAATTAGCTCGCCATATATTCCCTACTTGTGCTTATCAACCTGTGAAACAGATAATTTCTTGCAACTTATGGCGCAGTTACATGGAATCATAAGTCTTCCTGTAATTGACTTCGTTCTGTTTTTATTTTGTTTTTTGAAGCGGGCCGCGCCAAGCTGAGATGTCGGGGGTCAATGACAAAGTTGTGACGGTTAAGAAACTTTTAGAAGGTCACTATGTGTTCAAATTAACGGTGACAGATGACAAGGGACTCACGGGAACTGATACAGTGGCAGTGAATGTTAAGAAAGGTGACTCTTAAGTTGTAGCTGTGACTTTCACCTTGTAGTACATGTACATGTTATGGTATTTTTAGCCTGCGAGGCTGTCCTTGTTTAAAGTGTTGCAGGACGCGCGTCTCCCTGCCAGCTGAATTAGTTGAGACATGCTGGGAGGAAAGTTTTCCGAGGGTCTAGCACTAATTGTCAGTGCTAGACTTTTGTAGACCTCTCGCCGACTCGCGTTGTTTAAGGCTTCATACTTTCCCGCAGGCTAAGGAACGCTCGTGCTGAAGCGTTGATAATGACCTACCTTACCTTTTCGGGTAAATTCTGGATAAATTAACTGTACAATTGCAGCGCAACTCAGTCTTGTCGATGGACCCTTGATACATGCGATAGCGTTACGAGTCTGTTGAAACACCAGTCGCGACAATGGTCGACAAGCGAAATTCTCCGCTCGAGGCGCGATCGGAAAGCGAAGCCGTTCGCACAAGGCACGAAGTACAGGATGGCAAGAACGATTCTTGCTGCTTGCTCCTCTTAGCGCTAAGCCCTCAGTTTGCGGTCTCCGTCATGTGGATAGGTTACGTGATCGTATATTTTAGCGGGCAATCAACAAGATCTTGTGCGGTGGAATTGACTTACGCAACAAATTGCTCACTTTGAAAAAGAATGATGGCCTGGGAACGGAAGTTACCGAGTAAAGGACTATGGGATATTTTTCGGGGGACGCTCAAAGTGTCCATGCCAAAACACGTGCGTTGCTGTGTGCCCTTGTGGACAAATAATTTTCTGAAACTTTTGGTGCACAGACTTGGTGATATTGCTAGACTCCAGCAGCTGTGGGATAACTCTAAGCGGCAAACAATACACAGCAGTTGCGCGCAATACATCTATCCGCTGAATAGCGTCTGATGAAGGGGACCGTTTTTTATTTTATTTATTTTTTTAATTTAGTATGGTTAGATCAAACGCTGTAGGTTCGATGTTTTCTGAGTTCACATGTGTTTTGAGCGTAACATTACTCACACAAAACCGCTCTCCACCTAGGAATGTATATGAATCCGTTTCGGGCTCTCCGTCGTTGAAGACGAGTGCCAGGGTGGGTGAGCCACACGGTTACTGAACACGGAGGTCGCAGTTGTCAAGGAAACCGCAGTCGTTTGAGCGCCCGCTTTTTTCGCCCATTTTCGCTAACCAAGAGCTTGTACATCGGTAAATTGGTTATGGGAAGCTATTAACCCTTTGCATTCTAACATCAATAATCAAATTCTCCTTGCTATTCTCTCTACATTTCCTCGGATGATGACAAGGAGAATTTGTGTAACAGTCAAGAGCTTCTCCAGTTGGAAATAATTTCCAGTCTTCTCATGATCTGAACGTTTGATTCAGCGGTGATAATGTAAGGAGAAATTAGGTGCTAATCACTTCAAGGGTAAAGGGTTAAAGAGAGCTGAATGATTTAGAGGTTTCTTGTGTTTAAGGCAGACTGACATTCCACCTAAGACGAATAGTGGTTGATCTAATCACCCTTTACACCTTATGAGTGAAGATAAGCATCTAATTTCTCCCAACAGTTTCCCCCTTAGAATCAAACATTAAGGTCATGAGAATGAAAGAGAAGATCGCAAATTCCTAGAGGCACTTGATTGCTAGACAAATTCTCCTTGTTCGTTCTATAGGAAATGTGTAGAAAATAGTGGGGAGAACTTGGATACTGATTTCAGGGTTTAAAAGGGTTAATCGTGCTCTTTTAACCGATATAAGCTCCGTCAGGTAGTGGTCCCTAGCCCGCAGATATTTGCGGATGTTTTGTCTTTGTTGACACCGAGTTGCCTTTTTATTTTTTAGATATAAATAAGCCTCCTATTGCCAATGCTGGTCCAGATGTCACGGTACATCTCCCAAACCGAGCAGCGGAACTGGATGGATCCAGTTCATATGATGACCATGGGATTGTTATGTACGAGTGGTCACGTGATCCTAAAAGTCCCGCGGCTGGTGTAAGTGTTAACTAAGCCTGTATAAACGGTCGTGCACGCGGTATTTGAGACCTGCATACATGTAGCTATGAAGTTTTAAGCCATAACGCTGGCCAGTTTCTTTCAAATGTCGCGATATTTCCTTTTACGAAAAATCAGTTTGTGTTTTAGTCAACAGTTTAAATGCGTTTGCAACTCTAGAGCAAAATTTGCAGAAAGTTTCCATCAAATGTCAAATCTCTCGAAGGGAAACCAAACTTTTTCACTTAACATGCTTGTCTATGAAATACAAAGTTTTGAAACTCGCGCGCATAGCCTTAATCCTGCAAAAAGTGTTGTAGCCGCTGTCGTTGTTTCCTGGCGGAGAACAGTATGGCCGGCCTTCCTTCCCAAGGCCTACTGCACTTGCGCACTTATTTCCTTCCTTCTTCTTTCCCGTTCCACATCATATGTTGGTTTCCATGGTTGAAACGTGACAAGAAAGAGTCGATTCATTATGTTTGATTACAGGATGTCATCAACAACAGTGACCATCAGGCTGTACTGCGGCTGTCAAACCTTGTAGAGGGAATATACAAGTTCAAGCTCACTGTGGCTGATGGGAAGGGGCTCAAGGGCAACGATGACGTCATACTTACTGTAAAAGAAGGTGCGTTGCCTAATCAATTCGTGAATGCTTGGTGGCTAACCTTTTACAGCGCAACTTCAGTATGCATATTCTCCATACTGTTTTAAATGCATTTTCAAGGGTGCTGACAGAGAAGATTTGTTTAACAATTAGGAGCTCTCCTAGTTGATCGTTTCCTTTTTTCTTGTGACCTTAATGCGTGAATCAGGGGTGATATCGTAAGGGGAAATTAGATGTTACTGACTCTTCGGGGTCAAAGGTTCAGAGTGCACAAGAGGTGTATGTGCACTAACTAGGATACAGAGGCTGGCTTTAAGTGGTGAGTGCTGTTTGCACATGTGAAGAAGTTTGAAAATCTGATTGTTTGACTTGCAGATCAAAACAGTGCTCATCTTGTGGAGTTGTACCTGGATGTCGACATCACGAAATTCACCGAAGAAAATAAGGTACATTGTACTGCCTATTTTAATTTTATGTATTTTATTATTTAATTAGTCATTTTTCCATTCATTTATTTATTTCTTACGAGATGAGCGGTTCTTAGCGTGTGAACGACCACTTAGGTGACCCCATCCTCCTTCCCTCAAAGAAAAATTTTTTTTTTGGGTGGGGGGGGGGGTTGTTACCTCGGAAAAAGGATAGATTTTCGAAAGCGCTTGGTGTTCTCTTTTTTGAACTTTTATTTTTTTTCCTAACTTGTACATCTGCAGGAGCAGTTAATTCGTAAACTGGCGGTAATCCTTGACGTTCAAGATGAGGATATTATAGTGGAGCATTTAAAAGAAGCTGGTGTCGGACATAGGTACGTAAAATACTGCCTGGCCAAGAAGATAGCTCTTTTTCATTCACACAAACCAGAGGGTTCAGCTATTTTTGTATTGTTGAATGGACGAATCTGCCAGCCTTCTCATTTCAGGAGCTATTAAAATGCTATTTCACATCATTATATCAGTGCTAACTCAAGAAGAGAGGTTTTGAGTTTTTTTTTTTTTTTTGGATCATTATCTAATCTAAGAAGTTACTGCCCTGATCTTGTTCAAAACTCTCAAAAGTAACTCAAAAAGAAATATGTGGAGAAGTCATATTCAGATCCAAAGTTACTTGTTCGCTAGTTCTCTCTCGGAGCCGTTGTGCTGGCTTTGGTTTGATTTTGTTTGGTTTAGTTTGGTCTTGTCATTGAAAGAGCACCCTTCCCTCTCCTTGCCATTTTATTTTATTTAATTTCTTTTTCTTTTTTTTTTTTTTCATTCCGATAAAACCAAACAACACTTGCGAATAATACAGCTTCTGGTGGATAAAGAAATCGTTTCGGGATAAAATCTCGAGGTACTGTAACAAGAAGAGAAAATGCAATATCGATTGTCATTTTGTTTTGCTTTGTTTCGACAGTATGAAGGTGATGTTTTACGTTAAAGATAAATTGCTCAAAGCTAAGGATGGCTACGAGGTGGCTGCAATATTAAAGGAGAAGATTGGGAACGAGGAAGGCTTCTTCGAGTTTAGAATGTTGAAAGTAGAGCCGTATAGTAAGTATTTGAACGTCAGGTCACCGGATGATGATGATGATGATGATGATGATGATGATTACTATGATTATGATTATTTTTATTATAATTATTATTCTTTTTGTTATTATTATTATTATTATTATTATTGTTATCATCATTATTATAATTATTATTATCATTATTAATATTTGTTTGTTGGTTTGTTTGTTGTTGTTTTTTTTAAGTTAACTCCCAGCGACCTGAAATCCCACACTGGTCGCTGGAAATATAATTTAAGTCAAAACAAAACAAAACAAAAGAAAGCAGAACAAAGCAAACAAAACAAAACAAAAAAAGACATCTAATAAGAGATTTTTGTTCTAGAATATGTACCTCACTTTAATATCAGATAATAAAACCTGAGTAAAATACTACGTGACTTCTTGGTACTTGGCAACCGACATTGAGCCGCCAAATGAGTGTCTTTAATTGCAAATTATGTCGATTTCTACTCGGCATGGCGACCAGAGCGGTCGCAGCTTTAAGCGCAGCCGAGAGCAGTGGTATCTTGATTTATTCTAAGGGGAAATTTCAAACTCAAAATTTCCCTTTCCAGTTTTTCATTCACAGTCGCGATTAATCTTATCCAACCTCAACAGAGATACAAGTAGGTCAAAACGAACTAGCATTCCATTTAGTGAGAGTAGTGATTCCCTTTGTGGCGCCTTAATGTTATGATTTTACCATTACCTTGCACTTCAAGTTTGCAGGAATAACTGTTCAGGTCATGGTTACTGTGATCGCAGCACCAAGATGTGCGTTTGCGAAAGTTTTTGGATGCAGGATTTCTTCAAAGTGCACTTTGGAACTAGAGAAAGCAATTGCGGTAGGTGGCTTGTGGCCTTTTTGTTTTTTTGTTTGTTTGTTTGTTTGTTTGTTTTTTCCTTTTCAAGAACCCCGCTAGCAATACAACATCACCGTTCACGTAGTAAATTACTTTAGCAGGTAGACTGTAAGGTTATCTCGGTCTAGGAGTTATGATGTTTGGTTTATTTGCAGATTGGAGTATTTTATACGTAACTGTCATAATCTTCGGCATCATTATGGCCATCGGTGGGATTGTGTGGGCGATATGTTTCTGTATGGGAAGGTTAGTACCACATTTTTATGTAAAGAACTATGTTAAGCATTTGGGACGAGTGTGCCCACGGTGACAAATAAAAGTTGTGAGTCTTCCTCGAAGACTTGCACCTCAGATCATCCGATTCCGTTCTTTAATTCTCCACCTCTGAACATCAGGAAACTTTATCGTGAGTAAGGTCATTACTATATGCTGGTTCATATGTGACACACGCCTTCCTTTATACTGCTAGGATCAGCAATGTCGAAAGAGTCTTGTACTTAGAACGATGAAGAAAGATTGCTAAATTTGGGCTCAGTCGTCGAATGAGGAATGGTGTTACCATTTTTCTCTAGCGTAGGAGATAAGTAGAAAACAAAACAAAGACAAAAATATAAATCTTTGGCGAGGACTCTAGTTCAGATCTTGCACTTTCCGCGGTGGGATACTTTACCAAATGAGCTTCAAAGACCTCTTGGATTAGCCAGGTCATACATGATGATATGTGACCAACGTCGTATTTCTGATCATATCAGGACGTGGGCCTATCTCGCGCTACAATTTTAACACGGTGTCTTAGGATAAGTTGGTTACTAGTTTGATGAAGCGTGACAAGGACAAGGGCCTGGTTCATGTCGCTGAAAACTCGTCTGTTCAAGAATTTTTTTCTTTTTCGGTATGAAGTAAGATACCATTTTCCTTATAGATTCCATCGAATCGTTGGAAACATTTATTTTATTGAACCTAGAAAATGCCGCTTTTCGCTCGTCAAACGAATCAATTCTCCTCACGACTCGGCGCTGTTAGTACAACTTACTTTCTCTTTTCAGCAACAAGCACATTACTCACATAATGTTTGCACTGCACAGTAAGTTAACAGAAGTAAGAGTCCTCCCTTTGTCCACTGTAAATGAATAATGAAATAAGTCATATTCTCCCCTCCTCTTTGCTTTGTGTGCAAATTCTTTCCCACCGTTCTTTCACTTATCTTTCTCACCTATCAGATTGCTGAATTTACTTCGCTTCTACACGGTTCTCAATCACCCCCAAAGGTCGATGAACCTCCCGTCTGAAAGACAGTATTGGTCAAGGACTCCTTTAGTTTAGGGGTCCGGACTCTCGTCCAGCTTTTTACCCCGTCATGTTAACTTACAATGGAATATCGCCTGAACCACTCATTCAATTTTTTTTCAATCTTTGTCCGAAACTTTCTCCCACCTTTGCACAGGTTTCCTCTCCTCTCTATCTCTCCATTCTTCTTCTATTTAGAATCCGTCGTAAGAAGGTTGTAGTTTCTGTTAATCCTCCGAGTACAGAAGATGCTTCTTCAACAGATCGTAGGTATGCTTCAAATATTCTCACGGGTACAGGGTTAACTAAGCGACACGCCCAACCCCTGTTTTCCCGACTTTCTCAGTAAAGCCTCAATGTCGTTGAATTATTATGGGATGACTGTGCTTCTTGTGCATCCTTTTGTCAAATGTTGTTCTTCTTGTCGTGTTATTCTTCAACGTTAATTCCACGTACAATTCATCCTTCTCAGCTGAATTCTTTCTTTCTCTTTTTTTTCTTTTTTCTTTTTTTTTTCTTTGACCACACACTAGAAATTCATAGTTTGATTTGAATCGCTTCGCTCGTCACTTTTCCCGAGCTTTTTTCCTTGTCATCTCCTTTTTGGAATCTCACTTCCTCACTGAATCATTTTATTACACCATGAAAGATTAACACTATTATGTATTTAGTTCTTTGTTCATTCATTGTCCTAACTACTCAACATTCGATTTCGTTTTTCACTCTTTGTTAGGCTCTACGTTTTAACATTTTTTTTTACCATTTCCTGCTAGTTTTACGTGTTTTTTTGTCGGGTTGTGAAATTGTGCTATTTGTGCAAATAAGATGGATATTCTTTGTTACATGTAACAATCCTGCTCGATCATTTGTTTTTTTGTATTTTAGAGACCACTTTACAATTGAGTGTCAAACGCTTAACTTCGTTAAAATTGTTTCAGTTTTGATATTCGCTCAGTGATTGGTTAAGAAAGTTGGCGTCGACGGGTCTTGGTTATTCTCGTTTTCCCCCGCTTCAGGCAGTTTACTAGTTTTAAATTTTCATTCACATCAGCTCCTGATGAATTTTGGCTCTCCTCTGATTGGCTGTTGTGATTGTCACGTACTTTACCTTATTATGAGAGCAGTTTTCAATGGAGTATCGAAAGTGACCCTTCACTTCGCTCTGTCAGCGGTCTCGAAAACTAGCGCCATCGTCTCAACCAATCAAATGCAAAACTAAATTCAATCCCAACTTGGTCACGCGCGTTTTCTTGCGCTTCAAGGAAGGTGCATGTTTTTACTTTGAGTTCTGATTGGTTGATGATGATGTTAAGCTTTGTTCTGATTCGTAGCTTTGATTATTCAGGTTTTGTTTTTTGGTACTTGGTTGTTAAAACTGTTTTGATACGCCGTCATTCTTTACAGGAGACGAGTCCGTGGCAAGAGGCGCCATCGTTACGCCGTTCTTGATGAGGACGAGGAGGATAAACTCGAGAGCATGGAGATGCTTCCCAAAGGAGGTGAGAGACGTTGGAGATTCGTTTTTTTGCTGCTTAAATTTTAATGGAGGTTGCACCTCGGAATTTATAAGCTGTGTCGGAGGTTTCTCGAAGGGAGGGATATAAGATATGTCCTTGTTTATTCGGGATGGTTAAAGATCTGGGCTCAGTTTTATAACGGGCGGATAAATCGTTATCCAGCGGATAAGTGATGGCAAAACTTAGAGCGTTATCCGCCAGATAGAGGTTTATCCTGTGGATAACGTTATGCGACCTTCGAACAACTGGGGCTTGATAAAAAGGAACATCGTACATGATAAAAAAGAAGCGATAAAAGAAAACAAAAACCCAAAAAACAATAGAATAGTGCCGGATTCAATACAAGTATTCGTGTAAATAATGCCGGTCTTGTGGCGTTGGCTAGATAGATAAATTGTGTAGGAACGCTCCTCATTTAGTAAGGCATTCTAGCCTGGTTACCATTTAAGCACAAATCCTGCGAAATACGACGTATTTACCAAAGCGTTCCTGTCCTTTCTCCCGCCCAAAGTCTTCCCACTCAAAGTCTTCCCGCCAAAAGTTTTCCCGCCCAAAGTTTTCCTGCTCAAAGTTTCCCGCCCAAAGTTTTCCCGCCCAAAGTTTTCCCGCCCAAAGTTTTCACGCCCAAAGTTTTCACGCCTAAAGTTTTCACGCCTAAAGTTTTCCCAATTTTGGCCCTGGTTGTACACATTCGGCCGCCTTCTTTCCCGCCCATACAAATGATTGGTCTGCGGAATATTTGCGATCGCGAAGATAAAATTAAGACTTCATTTCCTTTCGGTTTATTTATTCACTTTTCCCTTTATTTTATTTAATTTTTTTCTTTTTTAACGAAATTTTTGTTCGATTCGATGTTCTTATTTCAGGTAAATATTTAAGTACCAGTCTGATGCTGAGTGACACCGGGGATGATAGCGACGCAGAATCAACTGTTTTCGAAGCTAAGAAACGACACATGAACGGCTCGATGAATGGCTATATAAGAAAAGACACGTGATGCAAAGCACTTACAAGTAACATGCAAACCATCGATAGCTCTTTTGGCTACTGGTTCATCCCAGTACCTCGTGTAAGAAGGAGCTTAAGGAACTTATAGGTCAATGTAGCCTAGTGTCCAGGGACTCACGAGGAGTTTAGCCGAAGGAAAGTGACTCAGAACGAAAACGTGGCTTCTATTTAATGCCACAATCTTGAGTGACGATTACGCACCGACTTCTGGTTTGCTCGCTCGTGGAGGCAATAGCATTTTTCTGCACAAATTTTTGTCGAGTCGTGCAAAAAAACTTGTTGCAGTGTTTCAGATTTGGTCGATGCGATATGATAACAAGATAGAGATATACGGCTCCATTCTTAAAAGAATGCAAAGCATATAAATTGGAGATTTTGGATGGTTTACGTGTTTTAAATCGTTAACACTGCAACTTGGTTGAGATGGCAATGAAAATTTAACTGTCGAAGAATGATGGCTCCCCCGGGTGAAAATTTGAATGAGATAATTGAAAGTTATGAAAAATTATCTGTAGTTAAATATTACTTTTATAAATTCAAGAAGTGAATAGGATACAACTAATATAAATACACAGTTTACATATGAAAATTAATAGCGAGCTATTTCGCTGAATCTTAAACCAAATACAGTCATAAATTATTAGCGATTACTTGTGCTTCATGCTTAAGTGAAAGTTCACATATTTCAAAGTGAAAGATTCCGCATGTCAAAAAACGTTATCGATGTGCACTTCATTAGCAAAGTTAAGAGGCTTTGGTAGAACACTTTTGCGCTGTGTTATTTAGCGCTATATAGCTGGAAAAACCATGTCGCTAACACAGTTTTAGCACTGCGCAACGGAGCATAGAATTAGGTAGAGTGTCCAAGAAGTAATTTATATTGTAGGGCAAAGCTCGTAATTTGCGTAAAATCTAAGTAAAGAATTGATTGCGTATGGTTTTTCTTGTTAATCACTGATCTGTAACTTCTCTTTGAAGATCGCGATTTTGATGTTGCAGACGGGTTTTTGCAGTGTACTTCTCAGAATTGATATATGTGTCAAGATCTCAATTCGTTACCTTGTAGACATGATTTGGGATAGACAGATCTGTTCAAGTTACAAGAAAATGGATAGCAATTAAATACGCAGATGGCAAATCATATTTGTAAAGGTCAATAGTCAAGAGAATACAACGGAGTTGACGTTGAAATAGCCTCTGCGAAGTAACATATCAAGGAGTTTTCCGCAAGAAGATTTTTTCACTTATTTGTTACCATTTCAGTTTTCCACGAGTGCACAATCAAAATGCCCGACTAGAGAGTAAATAGGAACACTCAACAGTTCGTCTCCATTTTCATTCGTTTGGAATATGGTGATGTTTGATTTTCTTATAGATATAGTTGGTTTTTTTTTGGGGTTTTTTGTTTAGTTTCTTAACGTCTCAATTTTTATCTCTCCAGTTAGGATACATTTGCCACAAAAAAGAAAAAAGAAAGAAAATTGTAGATGAGCAGCAGACCAAAAAGAATTCGTAACAATGATACTATCTGCCTTGATATTTAGAGAAAATTCAGCCAACTTATAGCAAGTATAATGACAGCTGAAAAGTGGAATTTTTATTTTAGATTGATCTGTAGGAATATTGAACAACAGACCTTTTGCTGCGGGTCTGCTTAAATGAGACGCTTTCGTACGATAACTTTTTTTTTTATCTAAGAATATCTGATGAAACGATGGAGATCTCTTGGAAATAGATGCAGTGGTAGAAAACTCGCGCCTCCAAGTGGTTGCAGTTTAAATAATTAAATAAAATATTTATAAATCGCTCAAGGCTATTGCAAACATTTATTAACGGAGGCACACGGCGAGGTTTTATTTGAATCAATAAAGTTTCTTACAAGGTACAGCATTTTCTGTTTTTTGTTGTGTTTTATCCCTAAGTTATATCATTTGTCACCCGCCGAAACGAAAAAAGAATGGAATTATAAAAAAATAACGATGGTAATGAACATTTTTTCACCAAAATGGAAGGAAATATCCTCAATTTACATCGACAAATGATGAATAGATATTAAATATATATTTACTTTATACTACGTAGGAACCTTTGTGTTGTATATCAAGAGTAAACAAGTGGTGTTTGCGTCCGTCGTTAGTTCGCGTCACCTCGCATTAAGGGAACAGAGATAACGAAAACAAGGAAATGTTGCATTGACTCATCCTCTCAATATTTCAGTTTTTGTGTGCTTTTAAGCACTTGGTGTGCGTGATGATTATTTTGCAAATTAGGACTTGGAAAGTCATCAAAAGCCTTCATGATAATTGAGAAAACTAAAAGCAAAATTAGAGACTTGCAATATTTTTATAATTATTCCCGCAATTATTTGTATTGTTTGCTTTTGGCGAAAGCTACGTCTCTGAAAGCGCTGCCTTTTGTTTCCTAATTAGTAAACGCATTGACAGGTGAGATGATGCTCTTGGCTTTTTCTTTATGTCAGGAAAGCAAATAGTCTGCAATTAACAAAACAAACACAATTTCTTGTCTGTAATTTCAAACGTAGTGTTTACTTGAGGAAATTGGTTGATGGAGAAACAAACTCTGTCGATACAATTTTTCGGATCGTTTCGGGATTCAGTCTCAAATTCTGAACACATTTTCACTTACGATGGAGCGCACGTTTGAGAAATCTCTCTGCCTTGGAACAGGAATTCCATTTGCGGCGCTGATATTTATTATTTCAATTCCCAATGCAATGATCTTAGTAACTCTATACAGAAATCCTCTTCGCTGCTTCAGAAAAACCTTCACGGTGTTTCTAGCGTTCATAACCGCGACAGATCTCTTTGTGGGGAGTGTGGTTTGCACTGGAGAAGCCATAACGCGATTTTTGTGTTCTTTCCGTGGAAAACAGTTTCCTGGCGAAGGTGACATTCCCACAATTTTAGGATACATTGGAATCAACAGTTCAATCCTTATGGTCACTGCTATGTCCGTGGATCGACTTGTGTCGGTCGTTTGCCCACACTTTTATCTAAACACGGTTAAACCAAAGACACTTGTCTTATGCAACTCAATCATCGTTATTTTTTCTGCGATATTTGCCTGCCTCCAACTTGCTGGGATTCCAATTGATGTGTATATTTCCATAGATATACATCTGCACACGACATTTCCTCTTATCACGACAAGTTTGTCTTATTTAGGAATATTCTTTGTTTTGCGGAAACGCGCTCGAGTCGATTTTCAAAGACGGGAGGCCAATTCGACAAATACTCATCTTGGTGACATGCGAGCGATAACGCGCGTTAAAAGAGAACGGAAATTTGTCACGACTTCCTTCTTAATTCTGCTTTTCCTAATCATCTCCCTAATTCCATACTTTGCATCAATTCTTGTTGAGGCGAACTGTTCTGGTTGTCGCGGCAAGAAATGGCTTATTGTGCTGAGAGAATCTTCAATGGTATTCTTATTTCTAAATTCAACTGTGAACCCGTTATTGACAACATTTCGGATCAACGAGTTGAAACATTCCTTAAGAATTGTCATCCGCGTGCAAAGAAAAGAAGATGTAAGCAGTTTTGGAAGTTCTGTCCAACAGAAAACAATGAGGAATACAGCCTCCGTTTAACTGGCTTAACTCTACTCTGCTCTGAAGAGCCTATGAACAAGCCAAACAAAGGATTCCTCTCGAGTTGCAGAAATAGAACCTTAGTCAACCTTGTGGATTCCAACTACAGCAAGTTTCGTTTCTATGGTCGAATAAACCACCAACAGTGCTATGAACAGGGAACTCCTAAGCGCGCTATACCACACACCAAAGCTAATAGAGTCCTTTGTTCACCTGCAGCGACCTTAAACAAACCATGACGGCGACAGCAGTGAAACATGGCAAAACAAAAGCTTTCAAGGGGCAAAACAATAGCTATGCGCGTGCATTTTTTACATTCTCTGACCGTCCTTTGCAAAACAGCAAGGTGAAGTCACCAACGTTTTCGTGGAAACCCCGAAGGCTAAATATTCACGTATCTTTTTCGGAATTCAACGCTGCTTAGAAATGCTTTGTTTAGGCTGCATCAGGATCGTCGAAAACTGGCACTATTGTAGAGACGGTAAACCAATCGATCCATTTGGGAAATTCATAATAAAATTATGAATTCATTTTTTCCTTTAGAAAATCAAGTTAACTTTTCTGCGTTGTCGTCCTGTCTGTTTAAGGCCCTTTACGCCAATTCTCCACCGACTGTTCTATGCACAATTCTATTCGGCGTGCTAGGCGAGGCGTTATTAGGCTTTTAACGTCTATGACAGGAGCATGTGACCTGTTCGCAGGTCCGATTTTTCGACTGGATATCATTACCCTGTTAGCTCGATCGTGCATAACTAATTTGGAAACAAGGCCACATGCTACGTTTGTATGGAATTCAGTAAAGTTAAGGTTTTCCTGAATTAACTAGGGAGTACAAACCTGAAATTCTGCTTGAAATGAAACACTGGAAAACTACGCAGCGAGCAGTTAGAAAGACTGACGAAAATTTTTGTTATTTGTGTCCCGGGAGATCTATATCATCGGAGAATATCCTCAATATGCTTTCACTCATGGCATAGGTGCATATGGATGAAGTTATACACTGCCATACTTATTCTGACCAAGGTAATTTCAATACTAAAGAAGCAAAAATTCTTTAAAATGATAACAACGCAGCTTCTTCGGACCATAAAGTTAAGTAGAGTGTCGGAGAGGTATTTTATACTATAGGGAAAAACTCGTAATTTACGTAAAATGTAAATAAAGAATTGATTGCGTATGGTTTTACTCGGAAATCATTGGCCTGTAAGTCTCTTTGAAGAGCGTGATTTGGCTGTTGCAGACGGGTTTTTGTTGTGTGCTTCTCAGAATTAATAAACGTCTCAAAATCTTAATACGTTATCTTGTAGACGCGTTATTGAATAGACAAATCTGTTCAAGTAACAAGAAAATGGATGGTAGTTAGATGCACGGATTGCAAATCATATTTGTAAATTTAAGATTAATGGTCAAGGAAAATACAACAGACTTAACGTTGGTATAGCCTTTGTGAGGCAAAGTATCAGGAAATTTTCAGCAAATTTTTTTTTCTTAATTTATTACCAGACTAGAGGCTAGAAAGGAAAGCTTAATAATTCGTCTCCATTTTCATTCGTTTGGAATATGGCGATATTTGAATTTTTTCTTGTAGATATAGCACCATTTTCTGTTAAGTTCCATTACGTCTTTATTTTTAACTCGCCTGTAAGAATGCATTTGCAAATAAAAATAGTAGATGTGGAGCAAAGAAGAAAAAGTTCATTGCAATAATAATATTTGTCTTATTATTCAGGGAAAATCCGGCCATATAGCAAGTATAATGAAACCTGAAAAGTAGGGGGTTTTTTGTTTGTTTAGTTTCTTAACGTCTTAATTTTTATCTCGCTAGTGCGGATGCATTTGCAAAAAACAAAAAACAAAAAATAAAACAAAAAAACAATGTAGATGAGCAGCAGGCAAAAAGAATTCGTAGCAATGTTAATATTTGTCTTAATATTTAGAGAAAATCCAGCCATATAGCAAGTATAGTGAAACCTGAAAAGTAGAATTTTTACTTTGGATTGATCTTAGGAAAATTGAACTGCAGACCTTTTGCTTCGGGTCTTTGGTTCCTTGCAAAAATGAGACGCTTTCGTGCGATAGCTTTTTTTCATATCTAAGAATATATGATAAAATGATGGAAATCTCTTGGAAATAGGTGCAATGGTAGAAAACTCGCACCTCCAAGTTGTTGCAATAGAAATAACTCAATAAAAAATATCTGTGTATTGCTCTAGGCTATTGCAAACACTTAGGCGAGGTTTTATTTGAACCAATGAAGTTTCTTACAAGGTACGGCGTTTTCTGCTGTGTTTTATATCTAGGTTATCTCTATTGTTATCCACCGAAACGAAAAAAGAAAAAGAAATGAAAAAATTATAATGATAATGAAAACTTTTTTACTGAAATGAAGGAAATATCCTCAATTTTCATTGACAAAAGGTGAATATATATATATATATATATATATATATATATATATATAAAGAGAGAGAGAGAGAGAGAGAGAGAGAGAAGAAGAAGTCTGAGTTTCGATTTTTCCGTAGTACAGCCCTCGATACGTAGAGGTAGAGCGCGATATATATTAAGATAGGGAAAAAAAAAGAGACTATACTTTTATCCCTACAAGCCTATTTCGTGATTACTCACTCATCAGGGGATTTTATAAAATCCCCTGATGCGTAAGTAATTGAGAAATAAGCTTGTAGGGATGAAAGTATAGTCTCTCTGTTCTTTTCCACTTTCTCAATATATATATATTTTTTTTCCTCTCTTCTTTTTTCTCAATTTAAACCACGTAGAAACCTTTGTGATACATAATGAAAGTAGACACGTCGTTTTCGTGTCCGTCGTTAGCTCTCGTCACCTGGCACTAGTGGAGCATGGAAAATGAAAACAAGATAATGCTGCATTAATCATTTTTTAATTATTTCAGTTTTTGTGTGTTTTTAAGCACTCGGTGTTCCTGATAACGATATTTTTCCAATTAAAACTTAGAAAGTCCACGGAAGCGTACATGATCATATCATAGCTAAAAGCAAAATTGAAGACTCGAATTATTGCTATGATTATTTATATTATTTGCTTTTGGCAAAAGCTACGTTGCTAAAATCGCTGGCTATTGTTTTCCTACACAATAAACACAATGACAGGTGAGAGGATGCTCTCGGCTTTTTCTTTACGTCAGGAAAGCAAATATTCTGCGATTGACAATACAAATGCGATTTATTGTCGTTAATTTCAAACGTACAGTTTGCTGAAGGAAGTCGTTTGACGGAGAAACAAACAAACTCTGCGATATTTTTTGTATCGTTTCTGGAACGAGTCTTTCATTCAACACAAGTTTTCACTGACGATAAAGCGCACGTTTGAGAAATCTCTCTGCCTTGGAACAGGAATTACATTTGCGGCGCTGATATTTATAATTTCAATTCCCAATGCGATAATCCTAGTAACTCTATACAGAAATCCTCTTCGTTGCTTCAGAAAAACCTTCACGGTGTTTCTAGCGTTCATAACCGCGACAGATCTCTTTGTGGGGAGTGTAGTTTGCACTGGACTAGCCATAACGCGATTTTTGTGTTCTCTCCGTGGAAAACAGTTTCCTGGCGAAGGTGACATTCCCACAATTTTAGGATACATTGGAATCAACAGTTCAATCCTTATGGTCACTGCTATGTCCGTGGATCGACTTGTGTCGGTCGTTTGCCCACACTTTTATCTAAACACGGTTAAACCAAAGACACTTGTCTCATGCAACTCAATCATCGTTATTTTTTCTGCGATATTTGCCTGCCTCCAACTTGCTGGGATTCCAATTGCTGTGTATATTTCCATAGATATACATCTGCACACGACATTTCCTCTTATCACGACAAGTTTGTCTTATTTAGGAATATTCTTTGTCTTGCGGAAACGCGCTCGAGTCGATTTTCAAAGACGGGAGGCCAATTCGACAAATGCTTATCTTAGTGACATGCGAACGATAACGCGTGTTAAAAAAGAGAGGAAATTTGTCACGACTTCCTTCTTAATTCTGCTTTTCCTAATCATCTCCCTAATTCCATACTTTGCATCAATTCTTGTTGATGCGAACTGTTCTGGTTGTCGCGGTAAGAAATGGCTTATTGTGCTGAGAGAATCTTCAGTGGTATTCTTATTTCTAAATTCAACTGTGAACCCCTTATTGACAACATTTCGAATCAACGAGTTGAAACAGTCCTTAAGAATTGTCATCCGCGTGCAAAAACAAGAAGATGTAAGCAGTTTTGGAAGTTCTGTCCAACAGAAAACAAAGAGGAATACAGCCTCCGTTTAACTGGCTTAACTCTACTCTGCTCTAAAGAGCCTATGAACAAGCCAAACAAAGGATTCCTCTCAAGTTGCAGAAATGGAACCTTAGTCAACCTTGTGGATAACAACCACAGCAAGTTCCGTTTCTATGGTCGAATAACCCACCAACAGTGCTATTAACAGAAGTTCCTAAGCAAGCGATACCACACACCAGGCTCAAAGCAAATAGAGTCCTTTATTCGCCAGCAGTGACCTTAAGCAAACCACGACGGCGACGGCAGTGAAAACGAGGGAAACCAAAAGCTTTTAATGGGCAAGACAATAGCTGTGCGCGTGCGTTTTATGGTCTTTTACATTCCTTTACCGTCCTTTGCAAACCAGCAAGGTGGAATCACCAAATTTTTCGCGGTCTGAGAACGGAACCCGAGGACGAAATACTCTTTTTTTTTTTTAATTCATCGCTGCTTACAAATGCTTTGTTGAGGCTGCATTAGGGTTGTCGACAAACGGCACCATTGTAGGGACGCCAAACCCATTATTCCATTTGAGAAATTCATTAGAAAGTTATGAATTTATTTCGTCTTTAGAGAATTAAGTTAACTCTTCTGCGTTGTCGTCCTGTCTGTTTAAGGCCCTTTACGCCAATCCTCCACCCCGACTGTTCTATGCACAACTTTATATGGTATATGACAGGAGCATGTCACCTGTTCGCAGTTCCTATTTTTTGATTTGATATCATTACCCTATTAGCTCGCTCATGCACGACTTGTTTGTAAATAAGGCCACATGCTACGTTTGAATGGAATTCAGGCTGAGGTTTTGCTGAAATTAACTAAGGAGTATAAACCTGAAATTCTGCATGGAATGAAACACTGGAAAAGTACCCAGCGAGAAGTTAGATAGACTGATGGAAATTTTCGTCATCCGTGTCCCGGGAGACCTATATCACCTGAGAATATCCTCAATATGCTTTTACTTACGTAGGTGCTTATGGATGACGTTATATATTACTATAATCATTCAGTGCAAGGTAATTTCAATACTAAAGAAGCAAAAATTGTTTAAAATGATGACAATGCGGTTTCTTCGTATTTCTAGGGAAAATCAAACGTAACGAAAGAAAGCGATACTTCTCTGACAATCCAATTACAAACTATTTGAGAATTATTTATTTTTAACGAATAATTCCCCAGACGAAGTCGAGGAAAAAAATTGTCGAATATAATTTCTTTCTGTCAGTCTATCACCTTGAGACCCGCACTATTTATCAAAATAACATTTTCCCGATCCCTTATAAGACTCTGTGGTATTCAAGTGGTCACCATCTGTTGGAGACAACTGATTCACCCTCCGACGCCTGACCTCGCTTTCAAATGTTCCACCATTTAAGGTAAAGGGATCTAGTTGGCATTATCATAATAATGTGACATTGGTCCTGTTTATTGAAAAGGCAGTATCTTTGAAGGCATCTTGTGTACTTGAAGATGAGAGCATGGTGTTGATGGGAAATATTTCAATCCTTGCCATTCGTCTATGTGTGGTTCAAAATACGTCCAATTTCTTTCTTAGCGCCTGTTTTGGAGACTTAATTATCAGCTTAACACACTTTGACCTTATCATTTGTGGTGAGCAGTCAAATATAATAAAAGCTGGAATGATTATTATATTCAGCCTGTCTAATAAAAACGTTGGTCGATGCAATATTTTGCACAGAGTTTTAATAAAAATATAAGGAGTATACTACCAAGAGCTCAACATCGCAAGATTTAAAGCGTTCATTAAATTTTTTTGTAAAACCTGCGTGAATTAGTGAATTGTTTACCAAATGAATAAACCAAAAGGCCTCAAATTCGTGGACTTAAAAATCATGACATAGATTCAGCGTCTTTTCTGAACCTAAAGGAAGAAAATTAAAAGCGAGTCTAATATCACAAATGTTTAGTAACCACACAGCTTCGCAATTCTCTACGGCGAGTGGCATTTTGAGTCATGGGAGAGAAACTGTCTTATTGCGACTCAAGAAATGCAATTACACAGCTACCCTTCTCCATTACTGTGTATTTGTCCTTGGAAATAATAGGCTAAAAATGATTATAACACTATCATCTAACAGGTTATTAGATAAATATCATTATGGATCCAAAATCTCACCACTTAATCTAAATTATCAATTAGTGGCAATCTTAAATTTGCTGGACTCACTCCAGTTGAGGAGTTTCAATGGGTTGACGGTTAACGATTTAATTTTTAGCAATTCTACAGCTGAAATTATTTTTTGTTGCGATTTAAGGAAAAAAAAATGACGGTTAGGTTTGTTATGACTCACGGTTAAAATTTGTCGGTTTTTATGCCAAACGGCTAAATTACCATGCCATTCTACGGTAAGGGGTTGACCCCATCAGACCCTCGCTTTCGTTTGTGCTTTCACGGATGTGTAATGAATTTCTTTGTTTTTCCGTTTTCGTTTTTTTTAACATCTGAAGGACGCTATAAATGAACATTGGCTTTGAAACACCCACAACACAAACTTAATAGCTGGCAAACCCTATAGTTTTAGCGTCGGTGGAAACACACTACTTTGACAGACTCTTTCAGTTGGTTAACACGAAAGGTTGTTAAACAAGGATTGACAAAAGAGTTGAAAAACAAGAACACGACTGATGATTCTTTGAGT